CAATACACCAAACAAGTATTTAAACAATACAGTAAAGGAGCAAACACACTGTTATTCAATATAGTTCTAAGGTATTCAAATAAACACAATATTCAAACTACCAGTCATGTTGTTTGAATTGAAAAGGTATAATTCAAACACCACAATTGAACTCAATAAAATGGATGCAACGACGATGCACTTCGCACTGAATCTGAGTACCATATGCATCAAAACAGTAAAGAGCATCTGTAGTAGTTTACGATCGTTTGACCAATACTATTGCAGAATCCAGCAAGTCACGAGGCTATCACGCGATGATCATTGTTTACATGCGCTGAATCTCAGATTGGACCATACTCTAGGCACAGTAGAATAATACAACCAGTAGGCTATCTTACCACGTGATCCGCCCGAGTTGCCGGGGACCTTCAACCTCTCTTAGAATGAGATTCTCATCCAACGCGTTCAGTGCTGTAGTATCAAAGGATTTGACGGTACCACGGACATCGGATTGGTTATAATAAACGGTCGGAAATTGATATTGTGTTTAGTTTATTCGCTGTTGTTGTTATTATTGTTTTTAGTTTTTGTAGTCGGTTATAAGTAATTTACCACAAAATATTCTATAATAACCTTAAATTTCGTTTTTATATGAGCGCACGCCTATGGTAAAAGAACGAAATTGGCTCCACACTTCGTTTCGGGGTCACCAAGGACTTTGTGAATTTATGAATGAAATTAGTGGAAGTGGACTTACTGGTTGATTTTTACCATGCTCTACGAAAAAACACGACACATTTTTCAAATAACTGTCAAAACTGTCAATAATAATGAATTATCAACGCAATTGCTGTCTAAATATAGATACAATCACACTATTGTTTTATCATAATATAATACTATTGTATCTAGTCATTTTCAAAAGATTTTAAAATAAAATTTCGTCACGATTGTAAAATGATCACTTTCATTATTATGCGCAACAAAGTAGGTATATTTAAACATATTTCACGCACCATCAAACAATCTTTTCATGTTCCAACCTTGAGAAAACAACTAATTGCGTGTTTATTTTCCTCAATAAAGCAGGCTTTTAACTGTTACAAATGATTCACAATCTGAGATCCACTGATATACATGTTCAAACACAAGGTTACGTCTTGGCTGAACCTGAACAATTTTGAAGCACAAAAAGATATACTCTGAACAAAATACGATCATAGACAGAAATATAGGTGAACTGAGATTGTCGAAACTAACATTTCTTTGAATTTGATCTAAATGAATCAGAAATTTATATAGACGAAAAATTGATATCTATTCATTTCATCAACGGACGATAAAGGATTTGCTTCAATAAATGCAAATGTGCGTGGTGGACATGCTTTGATCACGCATCTATAGTTGTTTGGGTTGCTTTTTTTGTTGGATGGAGATAGTTTAGATTTGCTCATTTTTTCAGATTGTGAAAGGTTATATATCCAAAATACACTAAGAAATATCGAGTCCTCCACAAAAAATGTCTTTCAAAGAATAACTAATTACGTTGTGTTGACGCAACTTCACACAATATGCACGTTGGGGAAAAAGGAATCACATTCAAAAATTATGGTTTGTCTTAAAATTTTTTGTTGAAACCAGTGCCCAAAATCAAATCATATGACTACCCAGACACAGCTGTTTTCACCTGCTTTAGATGATATTATTGGTACTAGGCTCAACCTCAATTGCATTGTTGAAATCAATTTTCCTTAAACGACAAAGCCTGAGTGAGTAGAAGTGAAAACATCTCCCCTTACGAATATGCAATCTTCTCCACTGTGAAGCAACTATTTGAAACCAGAGCCCACAACAAAGCATTCGTAATCCAAGACCCAGCGCTATCTCGACCTGACACATAAGTCTCATTAGTACTACTAGATATAGGTTGAATTACAAATGCATTGTTGACCTCAAGCGTCCTCAAAAGACAAGCCAAAACCACAGAAAGATGAATGTATACTCGTAAAATATTTTGCAGTTCCGATCCACATGCTTAGACCACTAAGCCGCAGAAACTTCCCAAATTTTATTCGTATTAGAATAAACGGTACAGATACTTGTAAGGAGTCGTATTACGGCGTTCTAATAGTGTCTACACAGAAAGCACCCCCAAAGAAATTTAACGCTAATGGACATACTAAATTATTCAATTTTATTTGTTCGAAGTTTTTATTGGTTCTATTCAATAATAAGACCATGAATGCGTTAACTTGATTGGATTTTTACTTCAACAAAATATTTTCACATGAATCTAAGAAATCATGTTCTATTGAAAAAATCCCTTTTTTATTATTTTCTCTATGACATAGTTCACAATCGTGATTTGAATTTTTTTTCTGTCGGAACATAATATTTTTATGATCTGTGAATTATGAATATGGGAGTAAATTGCTATTCTCAAATTGAAAAGTCTTTTAGGTTAAAGTGTTTCAATTTCTATATATTCAAGTGGTTCAAATTAATTGCTCGACAAAGAAAGAAGTGAAATATTATCCAATATTGGAGTTCATTTGTTATCTGTTAGATTAGAAGTAAAAGATATTTTTTGAATGTTACTTGATCACGCCATTGTGAAATTGATCATTTTGAACGAACAAATCGTTATTCAAAGATCTTGATGCGAACCACAAAAGAAAATAACTAAGTAGCAAAAGGACCCTACAACATTTACTTAAGTTCCGATGCACACGGGCATAGAATTCAAAGAATTGCAAATACGTTGAGACGGTCGTTGTTTAAACTACCAATTCAAACAGACGAGCGTATGCGACGACCATTTCAACGCATCATAATAAGGAACATTTCAAATAAAACTTCAATTTCTTCATAATAGACAATTGTAAGTGCCGAATTTTCAGAGTCGACAGAAAACGTGTTCCTGGCAATATCTGAACCTATTTTCCGGGTTTATTGGTCATGGTCTGCAGGTTTTCCAGCCTGACATTTGGTCCACGGCTGTGGTGGTGGTGTCCAGGAGACATACTAGTGAGTTTCGACGTGGTCTCCTTGTATAGTTCAATACAAGTAAACGATATAGCGCAACCTACCTTCCAACAGCTCCCCTTTAATAATATAGTTAGGGAGCTAACTAATTTCGTTATTCAACAATCAAATCGTACCTATTTTCAAAATTGAATGTTTCGATGAAAAAAGAGTTTAGTTAATTTTCTGTCATTATTTTTCACATCTGCAGACAACAACAATTATTTGAAAGAATGAAAAAATACATGCGTATTCCCTATTTGCAGTGCATTGAATTGTACACCCGTGGGCACGGTGCCTCAGGACGGATTCAAGGCTGTTTTCCGTAAAACATTGATGCATTCAATGTTATTATATAACTAAGATATTGATAAAAGTTGCTAAGGTGCCCGGTAATGCCCGAGATCGAATCCGCCTTCAAACAAATATTTTCATCAAAAGAATGTATAGAGTTGACGGTAAATTGATTCTGTTACGTCATATGGTTGACGAGACTGCAGATAACCATGATGCTTTTCATGTGGTAAAAGGACTTATCAATATAACCCATTCAGAATACGAGACTAATAACCATTATGCCGAAGGCTCCAAAAAATAACATTGACTCAAAAAAAAGGTTCATTATTCAGGATATAACCCCCAAATTTTCTGAGGAAAATCAAAGTTTCAGTAATGACTGTAACGCACTACCTTTACAAACCTCATTCCAAACTGTAGATGATTTTTCTAGAGCAGAAAAAAGTACTTGAATTAATATACGACATAACTGTCCAATAAGTAGGTACTATTCAAATATATCTTAAACAACATTACAAATATAGTCTTGAAGTTTTACGGTGTTGCCAAGTTCATATAAAATGTTAGTGACGTCACGATCCTCGTTTTTACTCGATTTTGAAAAAAACACTGACAAAAAAATTGTTGAAAATGTAAAACGAAGAACTCTTATACATGTTGTTTTCACCTGCCCGTTCATCACAATATCAGTGTAAAGGTCCATGTTCGACCGTTTTTATCGGATCTAAGAACAAATTTAAAGCCGTTTTACCGATAATAGTTTATAATATGGTATAGTGTGCCTGGTAAGGTCCCCATTTTATTTTGATTGAATCGTCGAAGTGAAATAATGTTGAATGAACAAAGTGAATTATGTATATGAGTCACCTGAGAACGTTGAAAGTTATCTATTCTCTGTATTGTGCCCACAGAAATGAGACCGGACATGGCACGAATATGACACGAGTGTTTAAAAAGTACGGCTGAATAAAGAAACAGTTGAATTTTATTCACGAGAAAGTAGCACGAACGTCCATGATTCAATTTACAAGATAGAAAACTTAAGGAAAATTTTCATAAAATTTTTGCGAAAATCATTCGAATTTCCTGTATTTTTCTGAAGGAAATCAAAAATAGTATTAAATCCTTTTACTACGTTCCCATTACACAAGTAAATCGGAAAAACAACTCGATTATAACAGGATCATTTAGTTTCTAACACCCATTTTGTTTTTTTTTAGTTGATGGAACGTTTTTGAGAGTAATAGAAAAAATTTAATAGAAAATGAACGCCCTATTTGGNAGAGGTAGCTGACCTAAGTAATTTCTACTAAAAATGAAATTGAACCTCATCACTCATTCGTATTACTCTTTTTAAAAAACAAAATGAAGGCATTTTTCTAGAGAAAACGAATGGGTTCACAGTCACAGGCTGAGGATTGCACAGATTTGCTGTGCAATCCTCAAAACATGTACGTTAATGGAAATTTATTTTACCGTTGCGTTGGTTCAAATTTCGAACTGTTAGCATTCTTGTAGACATGAGCATGTCGTTAGATACTAAACTAGATTACTGACAAGAGTGTAAAATGGAAAACGTAATTTATTTTTTTACATTCGAAGGACAATGACGAATAAAATTTTCAAGAAACATTTTGAATAATCACTAATCAAAACTTGAAAAGAATTAATACGGTGGCATCAAAAAGTGAACTTACTGATAATCATCTTCGTCCTTTTTCTTAGGTTGATAACATTTGACCAGTCTCCTGTAACAATAAAATAAAATTAATTCATCTGAATTTCATTTGCTGAAATTTATAGAATTAGTAGAAGTATACACATTTTCAGATTTCAAAATATCTATGTCCTAGTCAAGTATGATCTTGTATTTAATTTCATTAGTTCGGACTTCCATTGTCTAATATTATATAAAATGATTTGAAATCCCTGAAAGAAATGAAAACTAAATCAAAAGAAGAGCTGAAAATAACAATTATATTAAGCAAAAAAAAAACCCTGAAATGGATGTTACACCAATAGGTAGTTCCACTTATGTCTCGCTTGCGTTTACGCAGTTATTTTTATAGAGTACTTGTCTTGGTTATGTATGTATGTATGTATGTATGTTTGTCTGTGTGTGTGTTTCTGCAGCGTATAAAATTCAAACGTCTTTCCAATTTTCCTCAACCTCTGGATGTTATATAATTGCATTACGTGTATTTTCACTTTCTTTCGATTGCCGGCTGCTTTATTTACTACCAGCATCACACTTTACCTAATATAAGCGCATTAAACGTTTGAGAACAAACAGCTGTTTCTGAATACAAAGTATATCGATTTCGTTTTCACTTTGTTTTCATTACCTAATGTAGCGACGGTGTGAATTTAAAAATACAGTCGCTCCATTCATTCTCACAGGAGCAATGTTCAAGTATGTGAAGGCGGCATACGCTTTCAATAATTCATCAAAGGAAAGTAAAAGTAAAAATGTGGAAATGTATCGGGATGAATGACTTCTAATGTTACATTTATTAGACGAACTGAAACAGAAAGAAATATTTGTAATATAAGCAAAGGTTGAGATAAAGCTGCATATGGACAATATTGTCACCAATGTTAGGTTTATTTGTAGATTCATAAATAATAAATAAGTGTTACTCTTTAACAAATTGAATAATTTCATTCAATAATTTACTCTCACAACTATCGCAATTATTTCATTTGTGCTCTATCTCTTGAAACAAACTAACTCGCATGAACTAATCTAATTTGACTCTGCAAGTCGGCGTCCTCGTATATATACCCCAATCTAATGTTCTCTTATATTCCTAAAACTCTTATAATTCTGGTGGACGATTTTAGCTTAACAATATGACATAACATATCAGCAGGGGATAAAAACGTTACATAGGTAAAAAATCTTTAAAGCCAAGTTAGTTTTTTCAACGGTGTTTAATGCTCGTTTATAGTCAAATAAGTCGGCTCAGCAAAAGATGGTGTGGCTTTGTGTGACGTCATCAGATATAAGAAATGCTGAGCTATCCGTTTCAGACATTTCTGTGTGAGCAGAAAAAGTTCAATTATTTTTTGGTTGGTTGTATTCATCTGCCTTTATTGAGGAAGTATGGCGAATAAAAGTCCCACAAAATTTCGTTAGTACCTGGGTGTATTTAGTCACTTCGAAATGCACCAAACAAATTGATTGTAACTGTTACAAAAATTAAAAATTCAACAAAGCCTTGCCAATAACTATGAGAAAAAGAAGATTGTTAAATGAACTTGTTCTAGTTGTGATATTCACATTTCAAAGCATAGTTCTCCAATAATTTAATTTATACCTATTAGTTTAAAATTGTGCTTGTGCAACTTCTGACGCTTTATGAAGCTCTGATCAGACCTTCTTCAGGGTATTGTTCTCATGTATGGAGCTCTGCCCCCAAACATACCCTGAAGTTGCTGGATTCCATCCAGAAAAGAGCCATCCGCCTGATTGGAGACGTAAACATCACGTGCAACCTTGACATCCTGGAACATTGAAGAAAGGTTGGAGATTTTTCTCTCTTCTATAGATATTTTCACGGAAAGTTTTCAAGTGACTTGGCACATTTGATTCCACCAAGAGTGGTACATATTAGAAATACGCGACGGACTGTGGCTGCTCATCGTTTTGAGGTTCAACTTAGTACACCTCGAACAATTAGTAAATCCTCAAGCCAGACACGGTATCATTCATTAAACTATGTATTACATTTTTTATTTTAGGTAGAATGTTTTCCCAGTACTGAGATACTGCTGACGGAAAACCTGAAACATTTGCAGATTTTTTCGGTGAGGAAACTTGGACAAGTTCACGTCTTTCACATGTTATGGTGTTAATTAGGAAAATATTTCTTTTTTAGCAGGCATTTTGCCAAAATCGTTCCGTTTGGTAGAGCTGAGAGAAATTAATATTCAGAATTTAATTTGCAGTTGTTTAAAGGTACATTTTCGGATAACACGTCTAACATATTTTTTTATGCCGTGAATATCATTTCAGAAAAGAAGGATTTGGACAAGAAGACGAATAAAACCAGCTATACAGGATTTTGCAAAGATCACCGGCCTCTGGCGCCTACGTTCACCAACGGACAATGTCAAGTAAATGCGTGGTCACTTTTTATGGTATGAAGCACGAACGTTACAAATAAATTTATACGCTGGATTTGCCCACTTGAAGCACTACTTTCGTTTCTGTTCGGTGTGAAGAGGTCTACTGTTGAAGGTTACATTTTTACGTTGAAAATATTTCGGGTTTTCATTTATTTAATCTTTGGTATGTTAATCGTGTTGGTTGTAATAAAGATGATAAATATAAAAAAGTATATGCGCTTGGATGAGTGCCAATTTAATTAACGAAGAAAAATGTCATCAACTCTGACCCAATTAAAACGAATAGTTCTACTGTTGATTGTTTAGTTACTATCACTAGAATACAAAGGGGATATCACGAGTTTTTTTCAGAAGTATTTTAAGAATCCCATATAATAAGCGTTTGGAATTTTGTGAGCTCGGATTTTGGCAAAATGTTTCTTTTTCGATAAGTTTCCATTACATTGAAAGTACATATGTTAAGTTTCTTTAATCACTTTGAGTATTCCACGTGTGAAGTTTAATGATGAGACACGTGCATATTCTACGAAACATAATATGGAAATATTGTACGAAAGACATTTTTTCTGGAATTTTTATTGGGAGTAATTTGATTTCATAACAAAAAATCAACCCAGAAAAGTCTAAAAATATTTCTTGTTTTTGTTATTTTATTCTATACCAAATAGTTTGAAAATTAGGTGGCTAATAAAATGAAAAACTACAGTCGGTGTGACTGAAACCAAGAACATTGTTTTACAAGTCCAGAGTTCAATCGACTGCCCACGCAGCTTTTTACAAATTAGTGTAACCGCAATTTGCGTTTCTAACTACTCTCATTTGACAAACATTTTGAGATTGATTGCTTTCTTCTTTCCTTCGGAACTTTTCATCATGTTTTTATACATATGGAGAACTAGTGAGCCAAAACATTTCTTTCCCAAAAACTACTCTCTGCTGAAAATATATATCTTCCAATTTTGAACAAAAGATGTTTTCATCACCGATTAATATGAGAATAATAACAAAACTGAAACAAAACTGAGGTTCACACACTAAGAATGAAAATAGAATTGTCAAAATAAAAAATACTTAGTTTCTACAGCCAGGACTTCAACAAAGTTATGATTTCATTCATAAAATAAAAAAAAAATATTTTTAGCCTATTTTTCAATTAGTCGCGGTAAAAAAGAACTTTGTGCAGCTGCTAGATGTTTAAACTCCATTATTTGATTTTTATCACATCGACAGATATTAGTTTTTTAAACTATACCCTCTATTTTGAAGAAAATCTCTAATGTATGCATACTTGGACTGATCTATGAATAAGGTAAATGTTCAAATTTCGCAGGCTACGTACATTCGATTATCGTTTTTTTTTTAAATTTTTTTCATGTTGGTACACTCGTTTTGAACATATGTTCACAGTTTCAGCTGTGCAGCATGTTTAGTTTGTTCGTGGGAAGCATAAAAGTTAGAAATATTTTGCGTGTTCGGCAATTTTCTGCTATCGACAAAAATTAATCAAAGAATTTGCATCAAATTTTCTATGAAAAATGGAATTGAGTGATCAAAATCACTCGAAATGTTGACAGTGGCATACGGTGATTGTACTCTAAGTCAGAAAACCGTTTAGAAGTGGTTAAAGATTTTCACAGAAGGTTGACAAGATGCGAATTACGACACCCACCTGTACGCCCCAGCACATCAACAACCGATGAAAATGTTGGGAATGTGAAGAAAATTGTTATGGAGAATCGTCGAATCACCATTAGAGAAGTTGCTGAGGAGGTCGGCATATCGATTGGCTCATGCTCAGAAATTGTTGAATGACGTCACCGGCGATCCGGATTTGCCTAAAAGGGTCATAACTGGTGACGAATCATGGATATATGGTTATGACATCGAAACTAAAGTCCAATCGTCCCAATGGAAGATCCCAGGAGAGCCAAGACCAAAAAAAGCACGCCAAGTAATTTCCCTGCATCCATAAACAATACTCCATACGGCGGATTTCATCTCCTTCGTGCAAAGTATGTAAAAATTTGGGTTTGAACGCATGCATTTTATGCCTCTTTAAACACCTACATATTTTACTGCGGCTCATATTGAGTTGAAGCGATAAGTTTCTCAAACTAATTTTAGGATCAGCTTGATGAGCCGTCTC